GAGCTCCCACCCGCCGCCAGTCTATCTTCGCTTGCAGCAGTGACCCTATAAACCAGCATATCTACCGGCGACAGGGGACAAGGCCCCACTAGAAAAAACTGAGAAAACTTGGGATGGGAGTAATGAAAGCGTCCAGTCAGTTCAGTGGGTGGTAGCTATTGCCCATTGTTTGTTTGTTATTTACATGTTCAACGTTGTACTGAAATGTTAATGGTTTGCAGTTCGCACAAAAGAATACTTATACGCAGTAAATCACTATCACGTATTTGACTCCTTGTTCGGATAAGTGTTTACACAGATGGAATGACACACTGTTAAATCTTGACCGATTTTTTATTTAGTAATTAAGATATTTTCTTCATTTGGCTTGACTATAGATATATTTTTTTAACAATTTAATGGAACGATTTAATGATACAGCGTGATCTTCGTAAAGTAAAGGTCACATTTAGCGCAAATTACCGCAGCAAAACTGAGAATAAGTCATGGCGTGTCTACTTGAAATTACTTAACCTAATCTTAAATTAATCTCGCCCCTCTCAAATATTCTACAGGGTGAATAAAAAGTCAATACCCCCCTCTAATATTTTTCCAAATAAATATACAGAGATATCCTTTTGGTGGTCGAGCAATCTTAGCAGGAAGTTTCATTTTATCATTTTGAAATATTTGAGTTGCCCCCCAAATCCCCCCTTTTGGAGGGACACTCAAAAATTGCAAAATGATAAAATGAAACTTCCTGCTAAGATTGCTCGACCACCAAAAGGATATCTCTGTATATTTACTTGGAAAAATATTAGAGGGGGGTCTTGACTTTTTATTCACCCTGTATATCCGCCACTGAGTTAAAGTCATTAAAATTTAACCAGTCGAGGACACATGGAATTAAATGGAAGGGGAGTGATAATGTACGAAGAACAAAGAAACTCACTCAAGTGTAATTTGAAGTGCGTGAACCGCTTCATGTAAATGTTTAAAACTATAATTTGGACTATAAATAAAATGGAATGCATGAAAAAATCTTAAAGGCACAGTTTGACCCCTGACTCCATCACAAACAAACGTTAAACACATATTTAAAAATATGCTTTTTACATGTTTAATAAGATGAAGTTAAATTATTCGTCGGGTACAGTTCCGGGTTGAACCCTCCAACCACCGACGGTCTGAGGTTCCCCCACCATTATGTCCGGTCTGTGAGTTCAGTGTCTCCCTTCATCCATCTGTGTTGCAGTGAGTGTTGCTGTTCTAGTGCAACGTCGTGATATCTTCACAGCAATCCCAATCGAACAATGAAGCTACAAAAGAGGTTTTAGTGGAGATTATTGATGATTAAGCACTTTTGAAGCTTATTAATAATTTTATTTTGAACAAAGCCACTGCTCTATTTTACTCCTTTTCTTCCGGCGTTCTTCCTCAGTTATTAACACACCACTAAGAGCTAACCCTATTTTCTTATTCCTAAACAAAAGTGGTGCCATGATGTACAGGTGTTCTCACCACAGTGTCTCAACTACGAATGTTTGGTCTGGGAGTGTGTAGAGCCGTCCAAGACGGCATGGTCTGACCTAAAGGTCTGGTCTGGTTGGGGGGCTGTGCATCACGATGTCAGCTGGCTCCTTTTACAGAAAAAGTTGTGCCTCCCTCAGCATACCATGTGAGAATATCTCTCATGCAGTGACATCACGGTATGGGGTTCAGAAATCTCTGCAAGCTGCAACTACCGTAACCATATTTTTACACCCCAGAAAAAGCTATGCGGGTTATTTCTGGCATGGGTTGGAGAGAATCTTGCAAATCGGCTTTCATTAAATTAATAATTCTCACTTTCCCTTGTTTAATATTTTCAAAACTAAACCATAGTTTTTTTAACCTTCAATTCCTCACTTTAATACAATATTATAAAAATAACTCATCTATATCCCACACTATAAAACTTCTTTCTTTAAACAAACCATGTTTTCTTTTAATTCTACCCTTTCTGTAAAACTGTCCGACAAGCTCAAGTCTATAATATTAGTATTCAAACGAACACTTACAAATTTGTTACCTAATAAAAACCCGTTTTTATTCTGTAAAAAATTGACAAGCTAATCATAATGTTTCTGATTGCTGATACTTTTATTTAGCATTTTGTGGTGGATATGTTTACGTTAATTACTGTTTTAAATATATGAAAATGCACAAATAAACACATTGAAGTTTCGGAGCTACTAGCACTTTTTTGTGATGGAGAGTTCACCTAAGTTGTAAGTTTTCTCTTCAGTCTACTCAGAAGAAGTCCTATGAGTCAAAATATAGTGTGTTATGTTGTGTTACTTGTATTGTGTCTATGAGCTCCTGTACTCTAACTTACTTTGGTAAGCTAGCTGAGCTCTATCAGATTCTCAAATAAATCCTAATTTGCCACTCAGCTTTCCTTTAAAAAGTTTAAAACAAAATTCATCCAGCTTTTGTTATCTTATATACGGTATTTAAAAAATGTGGTTTTTCTTTTACTAGTTCGTTTAGTTCTTCTACACCCTACTGATTTTCATGATGAGGATTCAAATTGAAGGTGTGCCCGCACAGATTTTACATCATAAGCATCGACATATCTTCAGTCCCACTCGGCTTCAATTTCAGACACCTTACGTGACACCATATTTTGGTCTAAGAACATTCCTTTAGTGAAATACCGGCTTTCATTTAAGCTACTAGTTATTCAAATCGGACGGCTTTCAAGTTAACCCTAGGTGATCAACCGACATAAAAATTATTTTTATAAGGTTTTTCTATGATTAGAAATCAATAGCTCATGTATTGTTTGTTTTTTTATATAATTTAAACTCAAAATAATCAGTAAATTATAGGCTTTAATTTGAGCTATTGATCGTTTGAATCAGTTAAGTTCAAGATACTAGCTGTATTACTCAATCAAAAAACATAAATTTGATGATCTCTTTGATGATATTTATTTCAAAGCTGCAGAGCAGCATGGGTCTTCTAGTGACTATGAAAAGTTATGGGTTGCCTTTATATACAGGATTTTTGGGAATAGCATAGTGTGAACACTGTTTCCATGCAGTACCACCTCACTACATGTGGATTACGCTAACTATGTCTATATAACTATGTCTAGGCACACATTTTTCTTTAAAACCTTTATCCCCAGCTTGTGCCATCACAGTGTAATCTACGCATACTGTTAGAAAGATATTTTCCTGTAGATGTGCAGAATGCCTTTTATAAATTAAAATAGGCTCAAAAATAAGCGCAAAAAATTAATTTATTTTAAAAAATTAACAGAGGCCTTATGGGTTGCCATACTAGTTATGAAATAACAACGATATACAAACAGAAAATGAAAACAAACGGAATACTGCTACACAATTATCAAATGTTTTATTTACAGCGTGGGGTGAAAATAAAGAAGTCTGTACATTACATTATTTTTAGTTGAGTTTTTGACCTCTGGACCTCTAGTTTAATATTATTACCTTAATAAAACCTCTGTGACTGTGATTGTATTGGGAAGTTGAAAGGCAAAAAAATTGTTCCAATTCAAAAATATCATAGATCGTTTTAATTATGTTCCAAACAGTATTTTATAAGTACAATGATAATAATTCTTGCTCTTTAACAAAACTTTAACCTAAATTAATGGAAAAATCGCATTTCCATACTCACTTGTACCTAAACCAAGAAGGAATCAGATTTATTATCATAAGTCTTAGAATCAGACAAAAATGTCCTCGTTTCTTTTGCCAAACATTTTGGTTTTTTTTCCACCCTCCAAACACAAAACCACATCTCATGTTTAGACAACAGGAGTTAATTAGATAAACACCAGCTTTTTAAGTCAATATAATTTAAGTTTTTTACAATGAAATGAGTAACAGATAAATATTTAAATATACACAGAATTTACCCAGGAAAACTGTATAACAGACATTTTCTTCATTTAAATATACAATATCAAAAGTTAAACAAAAACCTTTAAAATATTCAGTTTAAAAATTGTAACAAATAATCAGAACAAAACTACTTAAGTGCCAAATGTACAGCTTTTTATGTGAACTTAAGATAAAAATATAGTCATAACATTCAAAAATACAGAGATAATAACATATTATTCATAAGATAAACAGCGCACCAACATCATAATATATTACAGTTATAAAACCTAAATGCCAAGACCCCATCACTTCAAATACATGTTTACTAGTGTTTGTTTATGAAATAATCTCAGATTGTAGGTGAATTTCCTAAACAACTGTCCTAAACATCACGACTGTGTGTGTTACAATAGATTGACTACACATCAGAGAAGTACTGATTGTCAACAATAGCTTGTTCTCTGGCATTCTAACAAAATACCCCCGCCGCAGCAAACCTGCAGACTAAGCGAATTTCCATTTGCCTGATTGGATTTACACTAAAATGTCTCCTTAAAAATATCACATTTATTCCCTATTTAAATAGAATCAGTTTAACACATACTTAGGTTTGCTGCAACAGGGAGGGTAAAAGTGTTTTTTATGTAAAATGTTAATAGTTAGTAAGAAATAAAAACATTTTCCAAATTTGGGCAAAAAATGTTAATAAACAAGCAAACTACAACAGTATACTTATTCTCCATAAGAATAACATGGGAATTTTAAATTTACAACTTTTTGAAATTTTCTCCGTAACCATTAGGTGCATTATAACGCTTCAATATACTAAATTATTTGTTTTTTTAAGCTCTACAAAATAGTTTGGAAAGAAATTGCAAAATTTTATGTTTTTTGAGTCAAAAGTGGGAAAATCCCATTTTTACCCCATAAAACCCCCCATAAACCCCTGTTCCCATGGTCCGATCATGCTGGTTCGCGAACTCGTTCGAATAAACGTAGGTTTACACGTTTGTACCAAATTTCATCAAAATCGGATCTTTTTTGCTCGAGTTATCGCGCTAACGGACACATATATAAATATATATATATATATAAATATATATATATATATATATATATGAATTTGAACGGATGGTGTTTTTGGCCTCTAGGGACCTCAAAATGAAAAAAAAAATCGGTCCCGGGTCCAGGTCTTACCATGAGTACTACGGTAATAGCTTATTCCCTATATGGGAAATTCGCTAAAAATAATGTCACTGAATATTTTCTGAATGAGAGAACAAGTTATGGTTGATGCATCCCATTATAACTCCATCACATTAACCTATTATCTGACAAATTATATTAGGTTATGTGCAAAAGGAACATTGACCACAAGAAAAAATGTTTTAATTAATTCAGAAGTAATCAGGGTCTTGATATTTAAGATTAAATAGTTTTTCCAAGTAACGTACAGTTTTGTATCTTTTTTTTACAGATCAATTTGGAAAACCTACCCAATAAATTTTTAAGTTAAACCAGTATTTACTTAGCCTAACATTTTTTTTAATTTATTTGTATTATATATAATATCAATACTGAAGAAAGAGTCATAAACTTGAATAACTTGCTCTTGGTCGGCAGAAATTCAAGTGACTAACACTTCAAAGTAGGATAAAAACTGCTAACAACCGTTCTTAAAACTAATAAAGCTACACAATCAAACCCATTCATTTTGAAAATTTATTAAACTACAAACAAATTAAAACTTATGCTAAAGAACTACCGAACATATAGGCTTCTCTAGACAATCAATCAGCAATACTTCAAATACTTGTTAAGTTGTAAGAAATCAGTTGTGATAAGGTGAGATTTGAAGTAGACTAGTATGAAATACGAATGGCCGAGAGAGCAGACTTGCGATGCAAAGTCACTACGAAGAACACGAACATTTATTTCACGTTCATCTGAAAATAAGAATTTTACATGGTTTTAGCAAATTTCGCTCATAGGGAATTGGCTATTACCTTTCCAATAGTCAATGCTATTACCGTAGGTTTCATGGTAAGATCTGGACCCAAGACCGATTGACTTTTTTGTTTCAATGTCTCTAGAAGCCAAAAACACTATTTGTGCAAATGCAAATACATCTCTGTGTTTTTTATATCTTCATCTATAGTCCGTTAACAAAATTTAGGCGGATAAAGGGGAAGGTTTTCTGAGATCCCCCGACCATTTTTTTAGATTAACGTATATACCAGCTATCGGCTAATGTTTCAATGTTAGAGCGAGGTGGAGGGGATGAAATCACTTCCCCTCAAACCGCCTAACTTTTGTGAACGGAGTATGGTCTTTCTTCTTGTTGTAGGCTTTTTTTGTTGTGAAGGCTACAACTGAAGAAGGACTGAGTAATGAAAATTATTATTTTTTTATTAAATAGTTTCAACTATTTTTATCAGTAAGGTAAGCCTGCAGCCCAACATATCCATTACAAAATCCTTCAAACTTGGCCGTATCCAATCTATATCAACTAATTACTAACCTAATTCTTTTAATGGTCAATGGGTTTTAATCACGAACACTGGAACAGACATGGCTTGGATCATAAATATAAATAAATGATGTTATTTAACATTGCTTGAATGGAACTGTCTAAAACGTTAATGTTATTAGTATAGGATTCGGGCCAGTTACATAATTTGTTTATGTTTATGATCCATACCGGTCTCTGTTATAATATTTGTGATTTTAATGGTAAAAGCTGGGCACAGCTGTCCTTGATCATTGGGCTTTTGATAAATGGTCCTGACTAAAGAAACAGCTGATCTTATTCAGTAGCAAAGCTGTAATCTACATATTAATTGCAAGCAGTTTCTTTAAAACCTTTTTTCTCAGCTCGTGTGCATTGCAAGGAAAATCTACGCATACTGTTAGAAAGATAGATGTGCAGAATCCCTTTATAAATTAAAATAGGCTAAAAAATAAGCACAAAAAATCAATTTAAAATTTAGACAAATTTACATGGGCCTTATGGGTTACCATAATAATGAAATATAAACAGAAAATCAAAACAAATGGAAGAAACTCCAATCACATGTTTTATTTACAGCATGGGGTGAAAATAGAGAAGTTTGCACAAAATACAAAGTTTTGGTTGAAATTTCAACCACGAGGTGACCAGTCTCGTTGATACTACACTCATTGTTATTAATCTTTTGCCTCAAAATACACACTCTGATGTGTTTGCATTGTAAAACTATAATTTCTAATCTAATCTTATCGAGACCTACTTTACTATTACACCTACCAGTGATTGAGCCAGACCAGTCCTTTTAACAGAAAGTATGCAGCGACCGAGAAGTAGAGTATTTTCTCTCGGTTCCATTGCTGCTGCGAGTGAAGTTCCATTGCCATCACTCGTCTATTCAACTTGGCCAACTGGCGACGCAAGTGTACCACCTCCTCAGCTGTAGACATGCCTTCCACACTGCCAACCCGACAACAAAATAAGCTATAAACACTAGGTGACACGCTAGGTTAAATACAGTATGAGTACGCTAAATCACAAATCATACAAACCTTCTGTCCAGTGGACATGCCTTCTACACTGCCAACCTGGCATAAAATATTTTGAATAATAAAGTGGTTAGTGAAGTAATTACTAGTTTTGAACTCTAAAACACAAATTTTATAGCCATCTCCTCAGCTATGGGCATGCCTTCCACACTGCCAACCTGACAACACAAAATTACCAACACTACAGGATTGGTTTGTGGCAAAATAAATACAAATAACAGTTTGAGAAATGCAAAACACATTATATAAACCTTTATATTGTATTATATTTCCTATGTTAAAGTTGGGTCTACAATAATCCAAACACGTTTAACCAGAAAAACTTAAATTAAATAAAGGGGGAAAAATTGCATCTACTATGAAAATGAAACTTAATGTTTTTTACTTGATTTATTGGTCAAATAAACGTTGGGAAGGAAACAAAAATCTATTTATTCACCAAAAGCCACAAGCTTTAGTTACCTTATCTAGAAAACTAAACCAGAGATCTCTCAAACTTAAAGAACTTTCTCCACATTGGATAACTCCCTACACTTCTTAGTGTTAGAACAAAGGTAACATACATAAAGGTCTTAACACATTAACACAAAGAAAAGAAATGCGTGGTCATACTGTTGATTCACAACTACCTTTTTGCAGTTAAAAAATTTTTTAATTATGAACAAAACATACTAAGAGACAACACAAATTGTATTTGCTACTGAGTTAGTTAAATATTTCCTAAACATCGAAACGCCTCATTAACATCTGACAACACCAACACAAAAACTGTTGAGCTAATTTATACAAAAAAAAAGTTTTAATAAGAATATCCCTAAAACACTACAATTCAGAGATAAATGAAAGATAAATTATAATTTAGAATTTCTTCTAACCATTTAAATTTCCTCAACGAAATGAAGTAATGTTTAGCTGATAGGCGTATCAATATTACAGGTATTTTAAATAGTATTTATTACTAATTAAGTGATAGATCTTAGTTTGGTTGTAATGTGAGCCTTACGCCTTAGGGGAAGGGTGATTTCATCTGTTTTTATATAAAATAATAATTAACTCATTCCCTATTTTTATGAACCTTGTTTATAGCCCTAGCGATTAAATAGCTAAAATCAAAAAACTCCTTTATGAAAATGTGGTTTAATTTAAGGAAATGTCACGATTAGCACCTTCAATTCAAGAGGTTCAATCCCCAGAAAGCCGACAAAAATTAGAACAATTTCCCATCATAATTGTTTAAATCGGTCTCCTAACACAATGCCTCTGGCTAAGGTGAAAAAAGGAAAGAAACAATATAATAAAACATCACTAACATTAAAAGTCTACACAAACGCTTAAAAAAATTGTGCATATAACTTCACCTACGATTCAATATTGTCAGTAAGTTAGTCGTGGATCAGAAAACTACTGAAGCATGCGTCGAACTAAACCCAAACAAACCTATACAACTCTCTCTGGGCTAACGCTGCAGACCTCTGGTCCACGGAGACATCCATAGCCTTGCTCTGGTCAACACGGGACACTGGGAGAGGCTCCATGGGCAGCTGTTGCGGGGCGAACTCGTCGTCTGCTGACGGGAAATAGTGCTCGTCTAGCTTGATCACTCTTGGAGGGGTCTGTAGAAAGATCATTGTTGAAAATAAACTTTTAAAACAAACTAAAGAGAAAGTTTCAGAGAAAATACAAATTCTTATACAATCTACTGTCTGAAGAGAAGTTCTTCAACGAGTTCGTATCGGACCATAGGAAAATATATTTACCGTAAGTGAAAATCCAATCAGTCAAATTTTTAATTCACTTAGTCTACAGGTTTGCTGTGGCAGGGGGTATTTATCATTTTATATTACTAGTCTACTAAACTAAATGAAAGAAAAATAAAACGGAATAATAGCCTGCCAGCCAATAATTGTGTTTTGAATCAATTAAATTAGCGAAATTCTCGCTAGTCTCGCAATAACGGCTGTTTTTATCAAACCTTAGGTAATCCAGCATTTTCAAAAATCCCACACAACCAAACGTACAAACAATCCGGAAATAGTGAGCGTAAGTAGGCCTAACCTATTTATTTTGAGTTGATTTTCAAACGAGGAAGCAAATAAAACAAATGTTTAAAGTCACCTGTTTGATAATGGTCAGAAATATTCAGCCTCAACTTAATTGTACGGGTAATACGTAAATCTTAGTTCATAACCTCACCTGTACCCGCACCACCCCTGGATCGGGTGGCATCACTGAATTCTCAAGCTGCAGTTCTCGTGGTGGAGCCCTCGTGCCAAAATGTTGGTCTTGACCTAGGATGAATAAAATATAGCCTAATTTATTGGCTAAAGCCTTAACACTAAAATATAATGGAATTGGTTGCTAACATAACGTCTTAAAAGATATCTTAGACCTATACCGTAACCTTTGACTGTGGAGATAATTGGATACCCATTCTTACGTTTAGGTTCTGGAATGAAAATTAACGTTGATTAAATCAACCTCCAACAGTGTAAATGACTGATTTAGGTTGTAAACACTGGACATTTAACCAGCCAAACAGAAAGATTGTATTTTTTTCTTTTTGCTGTTAGAAAGCCAACAATTATCAAACCAAAACGCAACTTAGTTGGTACACCGAGAAGTAAGATACATAGGATACATTCAATGGTACACTTAAGTCGTGTCTAGCACCAGTCGCTTTTGTCTAGCTCAAATTCTATTGGTCGTCCCCTTCCGCTCTCCACCACTCAAGGCACACGCAAGGTAAGCACTCTGCCAGCCAAGTCAGTGAAAAATTAATTAAACTGTGTCTTAAAATGCTAGTAAAAGGTTGTTAGTAATTTTAATGAGTAAACCTTCTAAAAACCAACTTTGTTGCATGAGGCTATGATCTTATTATAGCCCCTACATGCAATCTGACAAAATAAACTAACAAAATAACTTGACTCAACGTTAACGACAAAGTATTTAAATAGAAATAAATAAATATCTAGGGCAATTTATATGCGACTATGTATCTTATAGCATTTGATCTAAATACTTTAAGAGTGCTAAGTTGCAAATAGAAGCTTAATTACAACCTTTGACTATTAGACATTCCATCCCCATGTTAGATTTTTTGTCAAAATCGTCGTAGTTGAAGTGAGCCACCAACAGATTACGCTGATCTAAATTACGAAATTTTGTCGAATATACCTACACACTTTTTTTACCAAGTCTTTTAGGGAATGACTTATGGTAAGCTATAGCAACTTTGATGACAATCAACTTGGTCACAAAACAAAAATAAGGTATACAATATAATTATATACACTAGCGCAGTTTGTGACTGGCTCACCCAACTACGTTGTTTTTTGTAAAAATAATGACAACTGGTCCATATAGATGGGATGTCTACTTCAGTATCCAATAGTCAATGTTGTATACCAAGTGCTAGTTGCTAGATTACAAACTTTAGAACCTTCGAACTTTCACAGGAAGTTTGAAAAAAGACCATAGCCTACTAGCTTTTGAAGGAGAGGTTGATTATAGTTAACAGCGCCCCCAATAATTATGAAAGTGTATGTCTATTGTAAGGTCTTATAAACTTGTTAAACACTTTGAAAATGTTATTATAACAAATAGACTTATTGTAAATGGTTAATAGAAAGAATTGTTCACAAACCTGAATAACCCCTTTTCGAATCTTGAGTCAAATCCATATAAATGTTGTCTAAGTGTAACAAATGAAGACTGTGATTAGAATCAATCGATAACAATAATTTTGATTTAGTATATCACCACTACTTATAGGCCTACTATTATAGGCCTATTGTTTAACTTTAAATATTTTACCAACAAATATACATTGATCTATAAATTAGACTGGTTGTTTATAAGAAAAAATCGGTAGGTATAGTAAAATACTTTTAATTAAACAATGAACATCATCTAGAAAACCGATAGGTAATAATTTTAAATGTGTTTTACAGGCTACTTAAAAAAGAAATTTTCTAATTTTCAACATTAATGTAAAAATCCTCCACACCTTTCAAACAATATCTAAAAAAAATTGTATGATAGGCTAGTTTGATTGATATAGTTTTCCATCACAATAGTCACAATAGCGTTCCGACACAATCAGCTTGATGGAGAGCCTAAAAAATGATGATTACGAAATTCAGACGCGTATTTCTGACATTACACAGTGGACTAACAGGACATAGGAAAAGTACTCGTGACAAAAAAGTACCGTAAACAATGATTTTTTTTTAACTAGGCAGTAAAAATTCACTTTCCACAACTCACCCAAAACGCACTTCCTGAAGTGTGAAACAGCGTAAAAAGTGTATTAAATGAAGTTTTGGACTTTACTGAGGGGCGGAAAGGTCATTAAAACCCAAAAATGTGACCAGTACAGTAGTATTAATTTTGTAATTATGTCCAAAACATCATGTACCGGTACACCATTTTACACAATTCCACACTTCAGGAATTTAAATGTGAACTTAACTACCAATAACCAACACCTAACGTAATTAGAAAATGATTAACAAACGATGAAAACACTTGCGCAATCAATGCGTACTATTTTTTTCTCAAGGGTTATCTCTATGTACCGTACACTTGTTGTTATTATTGTTGTTGTTCTTTAAATGTCCAAATGAATATGTTGTGTTGCCATTCCATATGGATTTGTATTTTTCAACTAAAAGGAAAAAGAAAAATACCCCCGTCGCAGCAAACCTGCATACTAAGCAAATTTCCATTTAACCGGCTTGATTTCTTCTAAAATATTCCCTTTAAATTTTCAGATTTATTTTCTATTTAAATAACATTAATTTTAGTGAGTAGGGTAGTTAGGTTTGCTGCTACGGGGAAGATGTTGAGGTGTTTTTTTTCAATTGAAATATTGATAGCTTAGTATGAAATAAACCAAATTGCCAAATTTGATTAAAATATATCCATAAACAAGCAAACTAAAACAGTTTATTTATTCTCCATAAGAATAACATGGGAATTTTAAATTTAACATTTTTTTAATTTTCTCCGTAGTCAATGAACATTCAAAAACACTTCAATATACTAAATTGTTTGTTTTTTTAAGCTCTTCAAAATGGTCTAGAGAGAAATTTAGAAATTTAAAGTTTTTAGGGTAAAAAATGAGAAAACCCCATTTTTACCCCATAAACCCCTGATCCCATGGTCCGATTATGCTGGTTCGCGAACTCGTTCGAATAAATGTAGGTTTACACGTTTGTACCAAATTTCATCAAAATCGGATCAATTTTGCTCGAGTTATCGCGCTAACGGACACATATATAAATATATATATATGAATTTGAACGGATGGTGTTTTTGACCTCTGGGGACCTCAAAACGAAAAAGTAAATCGGTCCCGGGTCTAGGTCTTACCATGAGACCTACGGTTGCAACCTCAGGGTTTAGGGTTAGTGCTTGGAACTCTCTTTAATTTCCAATTTCCTTGCTAATCTTTTAATTTGAAACTTTTTTTTATGACTCTGTAATAAAGTTAGCCTTTGATTTTTTTTTTACTAAATAATTTTATATCGAATTTGGATAAGATTGTTCTAAAACAAAAGTCTTTACTTGAATCAAGATTTTAGGCTATATAAATTTTAACAGCTATGAGGCTACTCGATCCACCTCAGAAGTAGGCTAATGTTCTCAAATTGTCCAACACCTAAATAGGATAGTCTGTAATAATAAGATGGAGATTACCAAGTTTCTTTCAAGTTTCCACATTTCTTCTTGTTTAAACTATTTGAAATAATTAGACTATTTTGGTTAAGCTTTTCACTTTTTACTAGAAAATATTATAATATAAAAATCATACAAACTAGTTTTTAAACTCTCACCCAGGCTAGTTCATGGTAGAAGAAGGAGGAAAAAAATTTCCCTATATGGGAAATTCGCTAAAATTTATTACCAACTGTTGTCATATTTATTATCTTATTACTATTATTTATTGTTTATGTAATAAATATCGCGGCGGCGCTGAAAGCATACTACTTTGATTGGATGACCTTGGCTTAGCGGGATGGCGAGCCTCAGGCCTAGGTGTGGCAGAGAGTGAATGTGTGTACGTTTTTTCTCCCACCAAAAACTCTGAATTCCCAATCTGGCCCCTTAAAGAGTAGGGATTACTGCTGATATAAACCGATTGTAGTAATTAAAGGAAGCCTCGGCGACCAAGAAGTTAACTAAGCGAGTTGTAGTAGCCTTGTTGTGAAAGAACAGTTTTAAAAAAGTTTTTAAGCACGTTTTAGGTGAGTTGTGGAAACCGAACAATAACCCAATATGACACATTTCTTAAGAAAAATTGTTTAAGTTTACAGATTAAGTTACGTCGATAACTTAGGGCTCAATTGCTGTAACTATTTTTTCCAATTTAACGATGGAATATTTTAAAAATTGTTATAAGTTGTACAAGCATTATATTTAACAAATGGCATAGGGACAATTTTGTATTACCTGATTAATTTTGATTAGAAACTAAAATACAGAATATGTACAGGCTATGCTTCAACAAGCTAAAAACAACATAGCTTAGTTGGCACTTCAAAACAGCAATTCCAGCTTGGAAGTTAAAGCATTAAGCTTAATTTCTAATTATTATAGAACTTACCAATCACAAGGATGCGATCTGGAACATGCATGTCAAACTTATCATTCTGCTGCCAAGAACTCGGAGGTAGATTATTGGTTATTATATCTTCTGTCTCTCCATCTACTTTAATCCTCTTTGGGACCCTCATCTTTTGGCTGATTTCTTGGGTGAAGGTGGGATCGTAAAAATGATCTCTGTCACCATTAAAACGTGTAGGGCTAGTAGCTTTAGACATTTTTCTGAAAACGATTGAATCCTTAAATTGACTTTTTCATAAGGAGTCAAAGAGGAAAAGGAAATCAAGTTTGTAGGCCTAATTTAACTTCAGTAAATTGGTTAAGGCTGGCTAATTAGCTAATTTTAAAATAGTAAAATTAGATAGGCCTACTCATTAAGTCATAAATTCCTACAGATGTCCTAAAACTACTTCTTGCATTGGTCTTCATTATGTTTTTATTTTATTTTGTTCTGTTTAGGCTATGCCAATGGCATTGGGTACCTATTTAACATCAGGACCTGTTAAGTTACTAACTTAGGCTAAATCTAATGTAGACCTTAAAAAACTTAAGTTAGATAGCATCTGATTGATAACACAATGTCAAACAGCATCTCGGTCCACTAACAATCTCGCTTGTAATCAAACAAGTGACCTTTGGATTAGAAGGCGAGCATTATAACCTTTATAACCTCGGCTACCCAGATTGATCAGACTTACTAGTAAGGGGCCTAACTTATGTCTAATGAAGACCGAAGGAAATTACGCTCTTTAAAATATAAGGAAATGTAACCACTTGTATGAGAAGTGGCCATTTGTTAAGAGAAGTTAGGTACTCCAAATTTAGACATACACTTAACTTTACATATTAAAATTAAGGCCAAAGCTTAAAAGTCCAAGACGATGCTTAGGCCTAATCTAGTAGGCCGACTTAAAGATTTAAAATTCTGGTGTAGGCCTATAGGCCTAAGAACTTTAAAAGAGTTATATTGATCTAGGCGTAGTAAGATAAATGAATTAAGTTCTTATTAGGGGTGGACAGGTACAGTTTCTTAACTGGGGTATGATAATATCGATTGAAACTAGCCTATCGATGCGATTAGTAAACCTTCATGTGATTTTTTCGCCATCAGCAAGTTTGGTTGGTTAGGTTAGGTTAAGATAGTTTAATTTTATAATATATATAAGTTACTTAAAAATATCGATTAATAATCAATATTTTCAATTCGATAGTTTCAATCAATATTAGCATAGCCCAGTTAAGAAACTGTACCCGGGTAGACTTCCGTATCTGTTGGCACAAACAACCGAATGAAAATATCGATCAATATATCGATTATTCGATATATCGTTTGGTTAGTTAGGTAAGATTAACCTAACCTAACTAACCAAACAATATAAGTTACCGAATGAAACAATCGAATAATCAATATTTACATTCGGTTGTTTGTGCCAACAGTTACGGAAGTCTACCCCTAAGTTACTACATGATCATGCTGAATCGTATCTTGGTAGCCAACCAACATTAAATCGGCACAGACACTCATGGTCAAACATCCCTTAAGTGTAGCATAGGCCTATTATCAATTATTATTGATTATGGGGGCGCCACTATGTGCGTATTTTAACCCACAAAGGCCTACATCACATTACTTCTACATTGAGTATAACATACAATGGTTGAATGGTAACTGCAACGAATTTCTGCGCGATTCAATAAAATAACAGTGGAAAGTTGCAGCATACACTTACATGGAATCCAAAAAGTAAGTTAGTAATGGAAAACAATTACACTTAGCTAGCCTATTCGATTAATTTGTACGTTGTAATAGTATCTTGTTCACAGAAAATGTTCAATTTTAAGTCTAATTATAAACTGTAGACTTAGTCATACAGAGATAACAACAGAATTATCTTCATCAAATAAGTTATGACCATATTTCCTATCAAACAAAATGAAAATAGAACAAGAACCCAAGAACAAGTAGAAAGTAGACGAAGACGAATGAAAATAACGACTTTTCTTTTACACTACCACTACACTTCACTTGAACACAGCACCAGCTGTTATCCTTGAAAGCTGAAAGAAAACATTAAAACCTCACCATATGATAAAAAGACTCTGATTCCATTATTCTTATCAACTATTATGACAGGCTAGGAGCAAAAAAGAGAATGTGTTTTATAATCAAAGGACAAGATGTAATCTTAGGTAAAAGCAAAGTATAAAATCTAGAAGAAAGCTGTAAATTAAATATCCTCTTTCAGATTTGTGTTATTTGATTTTCTTAACGCTTTTCCTAAATTTTAAGATATTTTTTTACCATGGAACTTCGATATATGTGACTTTATTGAATAAATTCAGCTCCTATGGGTTAAAAGATGTGTACAGCGGATATTAGAAAATTACTTCTTGATCAGCATTGCACGTGTTATTAAATTATCTGAAAGTAAAAAAAAAAAATACGTCAAATAACACTTGTAATTATATAATTTACACTTATACATATTAAGTACCATAAAGTACTGTCATAGATAAAACATACTCCCTTAGATGCCCTTAGATAGACTAACCAACTCGTGTTGGTGAGTCTATGGTACTGTTTACTCACAAGACGGCCGATACTATCTAGATGTGTATTTAAAATAGTATCCTTTTGAACATGTATAATGATGCATAAAATAACAAGTCTTTTCCTTACATTTGAGTTATTTTGTAGTTTTTTTGTCCTAGGACGCTAGGCACGAGCCTGGGATTGTTTTTCACATTACTTCAGGCTAGACCTAGGGGTTGCGGCATTATCACTTAGATCAAATCCATTGGTGACTTGGCGGGGATCGAACCCGGGACCTCAGGGAAAGTTATTTTGTAGTATATAAATTGAGTGTTTCATATTCAATGTATCCAACTATAGTATATTCTCACTGACATATTTTTATTTTTTTCTATTTGTTGGCAACACTTCAATTTAATTGAATAGAAAGAAAAAGCAAAAATTAAAACAAGAATAAGTAAAGTAAAGTTCTAATTCTAATGTTAGTAAACTCTTATTGCTATTCAATCTAACCTAACCTCAAAAGTTTGTAAAATTTAATTGAATATAGTTTATTTAATCAATTATTGTAAATTTTTTTCTGTCGAATTGTTTAATTATTTTACAAAATCATATAAATTGTATTTCCCATAAGGTAATTCATAATGGATATTGGTGAGCTTCTGTCTTACAAGGTAGGCCTAGGCTATGTCTGGATAGTTAAAAATATGAGTAGGCTTCCTCCTTACTTACTTACTTACTCCTTCTTCATCTTTTACCCAAAAAAGGATAGATTGCGTCTCGACAAAAAAATAAAACATTTCTTCTACACGCACAAAAGAAAAATAAGTCCACCCTTCCACTCTCCGTCCTTCCACCCTCTGTATTTTAATTCTTAGAACTATAATGGTATATCAACCCTAAGCTCTAGCCCTATTAGTTGGCCATAAGCTTACAAGGTGTATAGGCCCAAATCAAATATTGGTAGCCTATCAAATAGTTTTTAAGTGATTGGTTGCAAGGTAAATCTATGAAACTTAGCAAGTTTAGGCTACCCGAATCAACAGGGCATTTGTAACTGCATGTTGCCAAATACATGTCTAGTTGCGTGTTTGGCTTGTCCTTTAGTTGTAACCATGTTTGTTAGATTATGAAATTCAAGACGCAACGGCCGAAATGTTCCTTATACAGAATTTTTAATTAATAAGCCCTTAGGACTTCAGCCAATGGCAACTAAGGGACAGTTTATTATGTAGGCCTAATCCAAAACTTTTTTGCCTTGTAATCTACGAGTTGGTCTAATTATCAGGGTAGTAATGTGGATGGTCGTAGTACTCACTAGTGTAGACATGTAGAATTAATCCACACCAGGGAGTATGCCTTTAAATATATCGTGACCTCTCCAATCAGCTGAATTACAGGATGACGCTACTGTCCCGTTTTCTTGGTGTTTGTTTTTATTCTTTCAAATGCTCTAGATTAATAAAAACTTTTTGAATCTATAAACAATTTTGGAAAGTTGTAATAATTTTACGAAGCCTACCCTCTCTTGATAGGCCTAATTAACTGATTTTTCATTTAGCCTCCAAACACTCCAAAACGTCCCTTGCCAGAGGAAGAAGCCGAAGAGCCTGATGAAACCGAATATGAGAGACAACGTAAAATCAGAAAACTTCAGAAAGCAAGAGCAGCTGAATTAGAAAGGCTTGAATTGGAGCGTCAAATAAGATTAGAGAGAGAAAGAGAAGAAGCTGAGCGACAAGCAAAAGAAGAACAACAGGATGCCATTATGAAGCTGGTAGAAAGCCATGGAGAGGTAAGAGAAACATTTCTTTTTTAAACAGTTTTAAATTTCATCGTAGGCCTAGTGTTATTTTATTATTCGACCCCTCACTTACCAAAAAGCTATTGATCTGTTATTTAGGGAGAAGTACTAGACGAAGCCACTCTGAAGCGAATGGTTCTTCAATTTGAGAAGCGAGCTCTAAGGAACCAGGAGATGAGAATCAAGTTTCCAGACATGCCTGAAAAGTAAGTGTTTAATTTTGAATCAAATATATCAAATTTCCTAATTGTAGCCAAACAAATTTGAAATACCTTTTCTAATATCAATATCATGCAGAATTGTGGTGTATTCAACTGCAGATACATTACTACAAAGTAGACTCATTGATACAACATGGTTTATTGCTTGAACTTGAAATGTTTTTCCAGGTTCATGGAGGCAGAGATAGAGTTGCATGAAGCTCTGCAAGAGATGCATGCCGTTGCTACGGTGCCAGATCTGTATCCAATCGTAGTTCAACTCAACGCTGTTCCGTCCATGTTGGAACTGTTGTCACATGAGAACACGGACATTTCTGTCTCAATTGTGGACCTGTTACAGGTACCAGATGTCAAAACCGAATAGGCCGGACTTATTGAGATAATCTTTTATCATAGGGGTCAAATCTTTTCAAACAAAAAATTAAATCAAATATTGATTAGGTATCTATTAGAATAAGTTTCCAAAAACTGTTGACAATTTTTGTTTAGGCTTTTTAAATGTACGTTCTTACCTCTTAACGCCTTTGAGTACTATGCGGACAATATATCGGTGTTTACTAAAATCTCTAAGGTATAGAGAGGTAGATCATTTCAACAAAAAGTAGCAAAACTGCCTTTGGTGACCTGCATGTTCATAGGATACACTAACAACCACTTAGCTAAAAGATTCGCCCAATCCGATGATTCGAGGTGTACATGTCTAAACCAAGGATTATTTGATCACCTCACTATGCCCCAGTGGTTGTAGTATAGGCCTATCGCTACAAACACACAGGTCACCAATTATTTGCCACACAGGACGGGCATTTGATCCTGGGCAGACGAATGTCACTGGTCAAGTGACACACGCCCTAGCCACCTCGGCTATCTGTGCTTGGAGACTGAGGCGTCAAAAACCGGTATTTAAGCTGACGCCAACGATTTCGAACAGATAGCAATACAGCAAGTTGTTCAATGCGTTACTAGATAGCAGTACTAGTTAGTCATGGACTATTTAGATGATATTTTTAAGTTGAACCACAACAGAACATAATCATAATTGTGTTACTGAGGCTTTGCTGCAAAAAGTATTTTTTCCTAAAATAGCAATATTATAATAACCTTATCAAACTAAATGAAGGTTAAACTCAATATTAGCCTACATTGTAAACTAAAGTAGGCCTACGGTCCACGAGAGTCTGCAGTTGAGGGAGGAGCCTATTTACCACTTGACTTCGAAGGAGTCAATGAGGACCGCGGGTTGTTGCCAAATCTAATAATACCAGCCGATTTGAAAATATTGCTTGGTATATTTTAATTAGTGTTGTCAACAGGCGATATGGCAATGTCGCACTAGCCCTGTTTTTTGATTGGCTGACGCCAACTGCAGACTCTCGTGTTCCCGACTGTAGATTTTATGAGATTTTGGTTTCAAACAATGCTATCAGAACATTACATTTTATAAGAAAACTTGGAAATTTACAACAACAAAAAAGTTTTATTTAATGTTTACTAAAAATACTGGGGCTTTCTTTGATAGATATTTGTTATTATCTTATTATTCAAAACTATCCCAATTAATAAAATAGTGACAAAAATACAGTTACAATTCAGTTACAAAAGGCAAACAAAAGTCTTACGAAATACGAATTATTGACCTAGCACTGAAAGGGCTAATTTGTCTGTGAGTTTTTTTTACAGATTCCTACCCCTATACCCCAGCAAGTTAAAAAATATCTGTTCCATGAACAAAACAATTCAGATTAAGTACTCTTTATTGTTTTTATGGTTGTAATTTTGTGTCACAAATACCCCAATTTATATTACAAAAATGCACAACTGAAAAATATAAACTGTATAAAGATTGTTTTGAATAGTTGGACCACTTGAAGGCTCCATATTAGAGTTTGAACAGACTTTAAACCTACCCAACAAAATTAAAGCACAGCCAACATCCAGTTATCCTTGTGCTTCCAAATACATAGAATCGCTATCAAATGAAAATATTAACTGTGCGATAGTTTCATATGTGCAATCCTTATTTTCATAGAGCAATTGTATTAGATTATCTTCCTAAAGCTTTGGTCCTTGCCTACAATCGATGAATGAAAAATAGTTTTGCCAGTTTTAGAGCTAAGCAATAGAAAGTATGTTGATTTCCTTTTCCCTTACCGAACATTTTCTAAAGACCATATTTATTATTTCTACACTACTACTTGTTTCGGTCATTGAGGGATAAAATAATTTATGTTTATTTTAACTTTCTGTGCTATATTGTCTAGCATGAAGCTTGTTTAAGTGTTAGATGATTATCTATTATGCTTTTGATTGCAGGAATTGACGGATGTGGACATTTTGCATGAGAGCCAGGAAGGAGCGGATGCGTTGATTGATGCTCTACTGAACCAACAGATCTGCGC